CGTAGCTGGATAGCTTCATCACATGACATAATCTGTCAGGATTCGAATGAAGACTAGTAAGGGACAAATGATTTTAGGGGCAAGTGACCTAAACCAGTCGGCCGGCTATGGAGGCAAAGTGCCTTAATTTGATATCATATTATGTGACTTTCACCGGTTTTACAATATAAGCCACACTCCGTAGTTTCTAATTCCAAAATGTGATATCAAACATTTCAAATATTTAAAGTAACCCTTCTGAAAATGTAATCAGTGTATTAAATAAAATGTTTTATGACTTTATTTGGCAAGGAAATGTAAAAATTAAGTCTTCCGTTATTGTAAAAAACTATGATGAGGGCGGCTTGCAGATGATAAATATTTCTGCCTTTATCATGTCATTAAAAATAACATGGTTTAAAAGCATAATCTCAAATGCTAGTTTGAAAAGTATTCTTTACGACAAAATAGATATGCAAAAGTTTTTTCACTGCGGAAACCATTATTTTGATAAACTTGCAAAAGAAACAAACAATCTTTTTTGGAAGGACACTTTTACAGCATTTTCACGCTATATTGAATTAATTCAAATCGTAAATCATTCTTTCGGAAAACATCCTTTATTTTATAACAATAACATATTAATTGGTTCAAAAAGCGTATATTTAAAATCATGGTTCGATGCTGGAGTTTGTAACATAGAACACCTTATATCTGATGGAAAGTTTTTATCTTATAATGAATTTATTAAAAGATACAATGTCCAATCTAATATCTTAATTTTCAACGGTATGATTCTATCACTTAAGCAATTTTTAAATAAATATAATATAATCTATTACATCCAACAGAAAAGCATTGGCCCAGACATACCGCTATACTTTAAAGATATTATATCAGACATAAATGGAGCAAAACCTTTCTATGATATATTAAATAAAAACAAATCAAAGCCAACAAGTATCGAAACATGGACAAATAACCTTAATTTAGCTTTTAGTGAAAACGAATGGAAAATTATATTCGAAATGCCTTTTAGAATTACAAAATGTGCCAAGTTGCAATGGTTCCAAACAAGAATTTTACACAGGATTATTGGAACCAATCATCTCTTATACAAAATTAAGTATAAAGAAAGTCCTTTATGTTCTTTTTGTAGTAATGATGTTGAAAGCATTGAGCATCTATTCTGGATGTGTCCCATTGTCAAAAAATTTATAAATGAATTTCTTAAAATAAATGAAGCACCTTTTTTATATTTGGGTATAAAAGAAATGATGTTTGGCTATAATGCAAAGGATGATTTATCTAACGCAAAAAACTTATTTTTAGTATACTTTAAAATGTATATTTATCAGTGTAAAATGCTTGATCTTTCTTTATCAATGATTGCAGCCAAAAACTTTATAACACAAAAGCTCAAGACTGATAAAGAGGTAGCAATCATAAATAATAGATTACCGAAGTTTAAAAATGTTTGGAGTCTTTTTAGAAAATTTATTTTTTTATTTTAAAAAAGAAAAATGTCAGCTGAGAAAATATTATTTATACAGTGAAAAGTACTGTTTTTGAGTTTAAGTAATTAAGAAATAATTCAAGCCAAAATAGCATGCTTTAGATTTTATATAATATTGATGCTTTTGAAACTATTTCTTAAAAAAATACGGCTATGAGTGCGAGTGTGAATGCATGTGTTGTCCTTGTCTCTTTGTGTTTTTTTGTTGTTGTTGTTATTTTGTGTGTGTGTGTGTGTGCGTGCGTGCGTGCGTGCGTGCGTGTGTGTGTGTTTTCTTTTCTTTTTGATTTTTTTTGTAATTGTTGTTTTTTCCTTTCATTACATAGGTTACACATCTGGTATAACCGTTCATATGCATGAAAACAAATAATTGTAAAACCACTGTGGGATGTGCTTCGACCCACAAATGGTTATGTGACGAAACGAATAAATGGGGTTACCCCATGTGGGGCCTGAAAAAAAACAAATAAAAAAAAACAAAACACAGAATGCGGAAAGTTTTATAGGCAAATTTGCAAGAGTCTAGAACGTATTTGTGATCATTTGAATTATATTCAAAACGAATCCCATCTCGGATTTTAATGATTCCAATCCCTAATAAAGTTTCTACATTGTACTTGCACTTTAACCTTTTATTTCAATTTAGACAGTATATGACTAATGAAGTTCCATCCGCACGTTAAAATACAAAAAGTAGCTTTTTATATCGTGTTCGGTACCAAACATGTCAAACGTTTTGTCGTTTAACGGTTTCGAAGATTACATCTGTACAATTCCATTTAGTATAGCTAAATACAACTGTATATTAATTTTGAGCCGAAAGAAGGTTACTGTACAGGGGGAAATGAATATCTAAACTCACTTTAACCCGAGAAATAATGATAAAGTGACGTAAGCTGTTGATGCCAGGCAAAGCATATCAAGCCGTCACAATGTATTGAATGCTCATGCACACTAGTGTCCTACACAATCGCCCTTTCCTATTTGGTAGAAGCACTCCCCCCCCCTCCGGGTTTCAATCAGAACATCGGCAGCTGTTTCGCAGGAGACATGATTCGGTCTTTAGTTTTCACCGTTCAAATTTCTTCAAATTTTCTGCCGATATCAACGACCTATATATAACGTGGGGATAAGTTTAAAAAAAGTTTAACCTCTCGTCTGACAACACGTCAGTTATATTGCAGGCTCATTCAAAGTTGATTGATATAGTTAATACACCAACAAACAAGTTGATAAAGTTGAAGAAAAATGGCAACACAACTTAATTCTTAACCAAAGTATTTGTACAGGTAATATATAAACATACAATATGTCTGTATGTTATTTAATTTTCAATACTTGGGTGGCTAATAATCATTTAATTTTGTTGACAAAGTAAAATGTGTTTTTTTCTGTCTCAGTATATGAACAATAAACAAAACCAATCATTGTGTTGAGCAGGGACAGTACAAAAGATTAACATTGTGCAAATGTATTTCCACCTAGATTTCCACCATTTTCAAGCATAAAGATGGTAATCTTAAAGTTCATGCCAGATGTCAAAATTAAGTTTATCAATACGCCAATGTGTTTCATTTCGTACCGTGATTGACACTGTCATTTTTAAACGTTTAATAATACAATCATTATAAATCGAATGATTACAACCAATGAGGTAAAATCTACCAAAGATACAATCTCTTTGGCTGTGTGACATGTAAAAGAATTAAAACCATACATTCCAAAAGCTAAAAAGAAGATAATATCGACATCTTATGCATTATCGCTTCCGTTGGTTAAAGATTCGAATGATGTAATACACTGTGACACAAATAGGGGAAAGAGAAAGAAACAACATCAAAAGCGTATTTGATATAATCTAAAAACATCGTCACCATGATACTAGAAGAGGCATTGTCAATGACGTTCTATTTGAATTATTTGGATATCTTGAAATGAAAAGTCAGTTCATTATTGTACTAAAAACAACAATCAATTTGATTTGTTTGTTTGTTTGTTTGATTCTCTGGGTTTTACGTAAATATTAACATTTTTCGTTTATTTCGGGGATCATTCCACCTAACCGGCTATCTGATAACTTACCAGTAATTACCTTTTTCTCCGCAAGTGACTGACTACTAATCCCACATAATTTTGGAATCAGCGGCGACTGACAAAATGACAATAAGAGTCAATTGTTGCGGAGAAATTTCGCTATGCCACAGGATCGAACCAACAGGCCTTGAATTTACTACTTCGATTCGCTTAAATTCGATTGTGCTAGGAGGGCGGACAAAACAAGTTGAATAGTCAAAGAAAACAAAGTCAAAGTAAAAATACACATTCATTTCTCTCATTCCATGTACAAACATGACACAATCAGATGACTAACAAGAATAAAAGTACAATGAAGCTCAAATAGGATTTAATAAGCATAAGATACCGAAAAACTATAACAGTAATTAATGTGATATATTGTCAAGTTTGTATACTTTCAAGTATAAAGTACGTGGAGGGCCAGAACTTTTCTGTATATTCATAGAACATGTGTCAAAATAAATTTTCCATATAATCAGGAAGCAGTTATATCAATGTGCTAAACATACAGTGTATTATATTACTATTAAGAAATTACCAATAAATGGCATAAATAAATAGTACAGTACAATACTTTTCATCATAGGCACAAGAAGAATATTACTTTTGTATACAGTAGATAGAAATAACACTTTTTATATAGTGAAAATGGCATTCAATTATAAGATACGAAAAGTGAAGATGATTATTATAATCAAACGTCCTATAATTAAGACTTAACATTTTCTAGAATTTTATCATGGCATATTTCGTAAATGCATTATGTTAATGTAATAAGTTTAAAATTTAAATGCTTTGCAAACAAAATATGGTTGACTCGGATTTTCGCCCTGCAGATACATATTTGACCGCCAAAATAAATTTCCATTACCTTCAAAACACAAAAACTTAATTTCACAATCTACCGCTCTGTAGAGTGGATGAAGGAAAACGTTGGTACCATCATGTATAAAGACCCATAAATCCTAAAACATGTTGTTTCTTTAATATCTCAACAGCTTTTCTTTTTATGCATATTGTTACAATTTCTTTTAGAAATGGTTGATGAACTTATTGGTCATAAGTACCTGTGATGTTTTGATTCTTTTGCATTTGCTTTGAACAATTTCAGTGATTTAGAATTTTATAAGGAAGTCAAATTGTTACATTTATTTTCTTTACATTTTGCTACTTTTATGACAAATTATTTTACAATCAGCACTACTTTTCCATTTGTTTAAGCAATAATTCATCATTTAACATGATTTTAATTCATTATCAATATATCAAAATACTATGAAACACTTGTTTTCCTTTTTTGAGAAAATAAATTTTAGTCATTATGGGGCCATTTGAGCTTTTTAAGATCATTTTTTTTAAAAAATATTTTTCAAAAATTCTAATACTTATTCTTGACCCAATTTTAATAGGCTTATAGTAAGAAATTTTTTAAAGGACTATTCAGCCGTCGATCTATATAATTCTTTATGAACACAAGCCGGAAAACTATTTTAGAATAAAAAAGTTATTATATATTTCCATCTATTTATGTCCCGTTATCCACATAACTGATAACACTAAATAAACTAATGAGGTCGAAATTTCATTTCGGTATTCTTTAGGGAGTAGTGATAACCACGCCAACCTTGCCAGTTGACACCGTCGGCGTAAGACTTATGCTCACCTTTCAGATACAAACCATTAATGTTTACACTGTGACAACTTGTATACCACCAACCTCCTTTATAGGATTTAGCACAAGAACTCGAGACTCCGTAATCGGCTGTAGAAAAACTATGTCCTGAATGTTCAGTTCCAAGAGAATCAGTGACGTTCCCAGTGAAGAAATTAACATAGAGTTTATAGGACTCTTCTGCAGAACCCACCGAAAACAGCCCATACGATGCATGCCGATGATCGTTTTCGAAATCCTCCAATTCTATAAGCAGCTCTTGTGGCACACCATCTGTTAATCTGTGGATAAATTCATTTCCAAGCCAAAACTCACCAGACAAATTTCCAAAACCGAATGCATAATCAACCCATTTTCTGTTAAAATTTTCCGACCCATCTTTTCTTCTTTGAAACACAGTCCACCCGCCACCCGAGGTTTCCATATCGCAGTATATCTTTACAGGCCGCCACATTGTTTTTGGAAACACTGTATATACACCACTAGTCTTATACCCCTGTTTCAGCAAGTCAGCACAGTCTGCGACCCTTTCTACTTTTTCAGCCTCATGCACACATTTGTTTTGAATGTTATAACTGAGTTGATCTTTTACATCTTCGAGTACTTTCACAATGTCATTCATCTTTTCTGTAACAGTCATCTTTTCCACAATATTATTAATCGTTGAAGTTACAGTTTCTGACATTCTATCAACGGAATTAACTACGTCAGCATTCCCTTCTTTAATTTCATCGATTTCACTTTGAATCTCCCTACGAATTCTTTTCTCTTGCTGACTTCCTTCACTTAATACATTAAATCTGTTGAAAGATTCGTTAATCATACGATCAACTTTTATCTTCAAAGATTCAATTTCTGAACCAATTTCCGGGTTTATTGTAGAATTAACGTTTATAGTTTGACCAAATTTCTTGTTCGCTAATGTATTTAATTCGTTGTAAAATTCTTCCCGGATCAAAGAAATGTCGTCTGCAAACCTGCCTTCTAGTCTTCCAATCCTTTCACGGAGTATCTTGTATTGTCTTGAATTTTCCGCTGCAACTTTCGTAACCATTGAAATGCAAAATATCACAATCAAAATCCAATAGCACGACCGACTGACAAAGATACAAGGTTTTACCCTTTGATAATACATATTTATTCCTTCTTTCTTCGGTCATATAATGTTTAATACAGAGAACATACTTGTTATTAAATACCCTCATAAATTGATGTTATTGTGTGATTCATCAAGTGCTTATAAGTAAATCCTGTTCCTTGTCGTACAAACAAAAACAACACAAGTGCCAATTATATTCGCACAATTTAGTTTTTCGATGATGGTTTGTTAAGTGTTTCAAACCAAACATATACTTAATTACATTGGACGACAATATGTGTGGGAATATTTTGTGTTGATGAATGAAAAAGCACTTAGATAACCAAAGTGTTTTTACGTTAATTTTGAAATATCATAGGTGGCAAAAAAGTGCATGTAAAACAATTAAATTTATATCGGCGAATACGATATGATTTAATATGCATATATTTGATTTACATCGTAAACATTCTTTTTTTTAAATAAACAAGTGCAAAATTAAATTTGATTAATCAACCTGTATCTGATGAAATTCAATTAATTAAGAAAAAAGCTTATAATACATTTGACGCACGACGCGAGAAAACCGGTCTTAATGACACTACAATAAATGTGCACTACAGCGATTTAAATGACGTCACTCTTATTGCGTATACACATGTAAACACGGAAATGTTTTTTATCGTGTGTTATTGTTTTTAAGTGTAGATCTATTATCGTTAGGATTCACAGAAAAGTTTATATGATGGAGGAGGAGTTAGAAGTAAGTGTCTATAATGTATAATTTATGAAAAACAGCAACAAAAACATATCATGTTTATTAATCAGAGCATCGAATTGATAAATATTTACTGTTGGTATTAAATTTAACACTGACGTTTACAGTACTGTACTCACTACTGTACTGTACTGTACTGTATTATTATTAGTCTGTTTATCCACAGTACACCAAGAATAGACAGAAGAATAAATTAATCGGCAACGTACATCGGTGCCTTTAAATAGAATATATTTACGTTGTTTTGATCTTAATTAGATCTAAGTCTATTGTAGGGGTTAATCAATTGCTTTCATATTTTATAAACTAATCTAAATTTAGGTTGCTAATCAGCCGCAAGTTACATTAATACTCTTTTTCATTATTCATTTAGAATATGTTTCTATAATTCATTTATAATATGCAAGCAATAAAATAATATAGATCTATGTCCATCATCATGGAATGAAAAAAAAGTTTTTTAGATTTAATATTGTGTTTTATTGATTAATTAGCACCCTTAAGAATTGCTGAGAGAATATCTCAGTGGATAATGTTGTGGCCTCACATACAAACAAATCGAGTTCGTATCCTGGCTGATGCCAAATTTTTATATCCGTTTTTTATTCATTATTTTTTTGTCATTCATAGGATCTGAAATCCCTCTACTCGGATTATTTTGAAAGAACACCTATCAACTCACAAAACAGATTTTTCGAGAGATACTGACCTTGATTTTTCAGACGTGGAAAAATGAGACACTAGTGCAACGACGGCACTGCGGGACCACGTTCTTCTCGCACAAAAAGGTAATAATAGGAAAAATTGTAATAATAGGAAAAGAACAATAATGTAGCAATACACTTATAAATAATTTAAACAAATATCTGCCATGCTTGAATTTTTACCAAGCGTATTTTTTTATAAGATTCAATACACTAAAGAATTTAAAAGAATGCATGTGATTTTTATTCGGACGATATCATGATTCCTATGACCGTGATTACAAAAATCGTGGTTTTAAAAACTTCAAATTTATGTTTTACTTAAGATATTCTTTTTGTAATTTTATTTGAACGTGATCTATATAATGAGTGCATAAGGCGTAGTGTTGCCACACGTGACTCAGAGGAAAAGTTTGTCCATCTTACGTTTATCCTGATATTTTTTTTATTTTGTAGCAAAATATTTACAATGATATAAGGGACAATATGTTTAATATATACTCTAAACTACCATCTTATAAAATCAGGTATACATCTGTACTAGGGATATACTACTAACATACTACAACCACTACTTGTCAACTCATATAGTATCAGTACAAATACCAGTACTGCTGCACCAGTATATTTAGTTTGAAAGCAAATAAATACCAGTGCTTTAACATTTTAGGGATTTTACTATCATTTTACCAAGTCTGTACACAGTTAAAATATCAGTCTTTTAACTTGGTCTTACTATTTTCTCTAAAGTTAAAAGACTTAATTTGTGTATAGATTGTGTAATTAATTACTTATTGGACTATATTTTAACAAGCATTCGTTATATTTTAGGGCTGGTTGCGTTGGTTAAGACAAAATACAAAATATATGTATCATGAACACTGTAGTATTGTTAAAAAGCACTTCAAATCGCATCAGGTAATTAAGGCTTTTCAACATTCTAACAAAAAAAATTATTTTAAGGACATGCGCGGTGTTCAGTTGATGCGGGGTTCGCACATCTAAAGATTAAATTCCGGTGGCATGATTTAGAAACACTTCATCAGCTGGCCCATGTTAAAGAGATGTCATCTACAACCAACAGCCTGTATGTTACCCCAAGTTGTCATGGCGACAATGGAAACCCGTTCTAGAGGGATTTTTCAAACCAATTATTGTTTTAAGGTAACATATGTTTATCTTATTTAAATGAAAATGTTGAAACTCAGAACTCCAGACTCAGAAAATATCCTAAACATGAAAAATTAAGGGTTAATTGTTTCTTTAATCGTTTACAAGAAGCTTTATTTTCTTCTTCGATTTAGTTTAACTTTATATTATGAAGACAATGTAGATACTGTATAAATGATCCTTAAAGAGTAATAAGCTCTATCTGTTAAAATACTTATTAATAAAATTAAACGTCCGTGGCCGAGTGGTTAAGGTCGTTGACTTCAAACCACTTGCCCCTCACCGCTGTGGGTTCGAATCCCAACAGGGACTTTGGATTCTTTCATGTGAGGAAGCTATCCAGCTAGCTTCCAGAACGTCGGTGGTTCTACTCAGGTGCCCGTTCGTGCCTGAAATAATGCACGGAAGGGCACCTGAGGTCTTCCTCCATCAGTAAAGCTGGAACGTCGCGATATGACCTATACTGTGTCGATGTGACGTATAACCCAAACAAACAAATAATAAAATTAAAAAAAAAAAAAACAGAAAAAAACATAAGGAAATGGTTCTGTAATCACATATAAATAGAAATTGTTGTTACATAGAATGTCTCCACATGTATATGTTCGTGATCAGCATAAAATGTTTCGGAACAAAACATTATTCGCAACATATATCCAGCTAATACACTTTAATGTGAAATTCTGTAACATTTTTTTTCTGGTTTAATTAGATTTATATGTATACTATACGGATAGTCTTATTTTACAAAAAAAAATATTTTACACACATTTACAGTTGATGAAAATCAGTCATGTGACCAAGTTTACTGTCATGCTCTAAAAACTGTCCAAGCTCTTCCGTTCTTTTAACTTACCGAGTTGTAAATGTGCTCAGAATAATGTTGTTTTTTTATTTATTAAAGCATATAAGGAAATAAGTTTGCGTTATTTTTCATTACGGATATTGATATTTATCATTTTTCTATTGATAGAAAATTCCTGCACTTCCGGTTCCAGTCGAACACACCGGGTGTGGTTATGGGCAAAATAACACCTGAAGGCGAGGAATATTAGATTCAAGTCTTGAAAGAACACGGATTCCGGTTCAGTTCATGTGTCCGTCCAAGCGTTATTACGCATAGGGAATGTCAGCAGTGTTGCGAAGTGTGCGTGTATTCGTCAGTCAAGACAGTTAATCATATTATCAGTGATTAAGGTGCACTGTTATAACAGCTAAGTGCAGATTTAAATATCCAGAACTGTTGTTGTTTGTTGTTAAAATATACGGCCATTGTTTCTGTTATAAAGAAAAAGAGAACTTTTTTATTTAACTATGTTTTTTTTCCATAAGTATTAAACGTTAAACGTAGACTTATATACTTTTGTTGATTTATTTCTTTTGGTATTTACCTAACATTTGTCTCATTTCAATCTATGTGACCCGGGCATACTAAAACCCACCAACACACCTGTGTCTTCCCGTTCAATATATATTTGTTTTTCAAGCAGTATATAGTCTGAAAAATTCCCGTAAAGATGATGAATAATTTTGTCCACATTAAAGGTATATAGTGTTGTAAAATGGTTGAAAAAACAATTATTTGCGCCATGTATGACTTGCTTATGGGCGTTGTTATAACGTTGCTAAGCAACGCTAAAATCGAAATAAGCGGGAAGTCTATAGGTTAAATAACTTAATTACTACATTATTTACAGCTTAAGCATACTAATGCAGTGAACTTAAGATTTAAATATTATTGCCGTTTTAATTTTCTAATTAACAACGTTAAACGTCAAAATTTAATTTTTCGACGTCATTTGTTAACAAAGTGATCAAATATATGACGTTCGTTAAATTGGTATATCTAAATAACTAACCCTTTGATTTGAAAACGGTTTTCACCGTCGTATTCAGAAAGAAATTCTCTACAATAATATGTGAAAAACAGAATTTCGAAAAAAATGTCATTAAGACCGGTTTTCTCGCGTCGTGCCTCATTTAAATGTTGTCTCAATTAATTTTATAATTCGAGATACCATACAATATTTTTTGAAAAATAAGTTATTTCTGATATTATAATGAATACGACTAATGTCCTTCTTATATCTTAGATTCCTCGTTTATTATACCAGTATACCTATATTTTTTCCCCTAAAATACACGCAAATCATGGAGCGCTTAAACGAATCATTCCTTATTGTGTTAGTTACAAATACGGTAACATTTATGTAAGTGCTGGACTATTTTCTCGTTGATTCCCATGTTAGCTGTTCATTACGTAGCGTTTGGAAAAGGAAACCGATATACCTTAGGGCGAGGTCTCTTTTGTAAAAATTACCTATTCATCCGTTATTGATGAATCTTTTTTCTTCTTTTTGATAAAAATGTTTAGATGTATGATAAAAGAATTATTATGTTATGGTAGCTTCTTTTTTTGATTTTGCTTCTCGCACAGTGAGAAAAAACTCATATTTCAAAATATATGGATTTGAGCACGATGCTCTCACACTATAAATACCTAATTGATGATTAAACAAACTACAAGGTACCTTCAAAAACAAAATAAACTAAGGGAAATAAAAGATAAAAACATTATAGAATTGCATAATTGTAGTGGATGAAAAAGCACTTTGATACCATCGTTCTAAAGGTCAATAAATCCTCAAATATCTGCACTATTTTTTATGTGTTTCAGCATCTGTCATGGTCTAAATTGTTTATCAAAATATTATTAAACAGTTGTTTTCCATTTATAGAGAGGAATAATTGTAGTCATTACTGAAGATAATTGTGCTTTCAAATCTGCATGCCTCCAGATGAGCAAAAATATTTTAAAAATTTCAGAATTCACAAAAATATACTAAAAATTTAAGAAAAATAAAGATATACATGATTAAAGTAATATTTAAATGTTATGTGCGATTAACGACTTATTTTTCAATATTTGCAAACATATTTCTACTGCGTGACCTACGAAGTAAGTGCCACTTTCCCATGTCTTGACATTTATTTGGTAATTTACGTAGATAGTTAGTGCCGTTTGCCATTTGTAAAAAACACTTTCTTTGTTTACTTCACATTACTTCATTTTTCAGATACTTTTTCAAAATGTTCATGAAAATAAGCATGAATCCGGAGTCATGCTGCCTTAATGTCCTTTTTTCAAAAACAGAAGTCAAATAATGGAATGATTAATATCAGTTTCTTTTTTAAAGTTGTCAAACAATCCAATACTTTATAGTAAATAGTAAGATCTTTTTCCAAAGGACTTTTAATAGACTGATATAATTCTTTTTGAATACATGCTGGAGAACTACAATAAATAAAATCAAAACAAATAACATTATATTTCCTTCCATCTATGTCCCCTTGTTCATATAACTGATAACACTGATAAACTAATGAGGTCGAACTTTCATTTCGGTTTTCTTTAGGGAGTAGTGATAACCACGCCAACCTTTCCAGTTGACACCGTCGGCGTAAGACTTATGCTCACCTTTCAGATACAAACCATTAATGTTAACACTGTGACAATTTTCATACCACCATCCTCCTTTATAGGATTTAGCACAAGAAATCGAGACTCCGTGATCGGCTGTAGAAAAACTATGTCCTGAATGTCTAGATACTAGAGAATCAGTGACGTTCCCAGTGAAGAAATTAACATAGAGTTTATAGGACTCTTCTGCAGAACCAACCGAAAACAGCCCATACGATGCATGCCGATGATCGTTTTCGAAATCCTCCAATTCTATAAGCAACTCATGTGGCACACCATCTGTTAATCTGTGGATAAATTCATTTCCAAGCCAAAACTCACCAGACAAATTTCCAAAACCGAATGCATATTCAACCCATTTTCTGTTAAAATTTTCCGACCCATCTTTTCTTCTTTGAAACACAGTCCACCCGCCACCCGAGGTTTCCATATCGCAGTATACGTTTACAGGCCGCCACATTGTTTTTGGAAACACTGTATATACACCACTAGTCTTATACCCCTGTTTCAGCAAGTCAGCACAGTCTGCGACCCTTTCTACTTTTTCGGCCTCATGCACACATTTGTTTTGAATGTTAGAACTGAGTTGATCTTTTACATCTTCGAGTACTTTTACAATGTCATTCATCTTTTGTGTAACAGTGATCTTTTCCACAATGTTATTAATCGTTGAAGTGACAGTTTGTGACATTCTATCAACGGAATTAACTACGTCAGCATTCCCTTCTTTAATTTCATCGATTTCACTTTGAATCTCCCTACGAATTCTTTTCTCTTGCCTGCTTCCTTCCCTTAATACATTAAATCTGTTGAAAGATTCGTTAATCATACGATCGACTTTTATCTTCAAAGATTCAATTTCTGAACCTATTTCCAGGTTAATTGTAGAATTAACGTTCATGGTTTGACCAAATTTCTTGTTCGCTAATGTATTTAATTCGTTGTAAAATTCCTCCCGGATCAAAGAAATGTCGTCTGCAAACCTGCCTTCTAGTCTTCCAATCCTTTCACGGAGTATCTTGTATTGTCTTGAATTTTCCGCTGCAACTTTCGTAACCATTGAAATGCAAAATATCACAATCAAAATCAAATAACACGACCAACTGACAAAGATACAAGGTTTTACCCTTTGATAATACATATTTATTCATTCTTTCTTCGGTCATATAATGTTTAATACAGAGAACATACTTGTTATTAAATACTCTCATAAATTGATGTTATTGTGTGATTCATCAAGTGCTTATAAGTAAATCCTGTTCCTTGTCGTACAAACAAAAACAACACAAGTGCCAATTATATTCGCACACTTTAGTTTTTCGATGATGGTTTGTTAAGTGTTTCAAACGAAACCTATACTTAATAACATTGGACGACAATATATGTGTGGTGGGAATATTTTGTGTTGATGAATGAAAAAGCACTTATATAACAAAAGTGTTTTTACGTTAATTTTGAAATATTATAGGTGGCAAAAAAGTGCATGTAAAACAATTAAATTTATATCGGCGAATACGATATGATTTAATATGCATATATTTATTTGATTTACATCGTAAACAATCTTTTTTTTAAATAAACAAGTGTATAATAAAATTTGATTCACCTACCTGTATCTGATGAAATTCAATTAATTAAGAAAAAAGCTTATAATACATTTAAATGTTGTCTCAATTAATTTTTTAATTTGAGATACCATATAATATTTTAGAAAATAAGTGATTTCTGATATCAAGAATACGACCAATCTCCTTCTTATATATTAGATTCCTCTTTTATTATATACCTATAAATTTTGTCCGTAAAATACACGCAAATCATGGAGCGCTAATACGAGTCAACTCAATCGTAACAACTCGGCAATATCCGTCAATTCTTGAAGTCGCCCGAGGTGTTCCGATTGCGATTCAACCCTGTATACAGTAATTTGCCCTTGGTTGCCTACATTACGGAAGTGGTTACACGATACATTAGCCCAATGTTGAATACTAAGTATTTATGAAATTTTAAATGCAAGACATAGTGAAAAAGGTCATAATGTACTACAGGAGGTGTAAAATGAATGACAAATTTGAATTGTAAAACAATTTGAATTTAGCTTATGCACAATGACCATTTTTGACAGGGGGGGGGGGGCTTGTTAACGGCCGTCATGGCATTACATCCACATAAACATTTAATCAAAGTAGAAGTGAAAAAATGCCGATCAACCCCTCATCTACATCAAACATATTGTTCTCTTTCGGATAGTTCTGCAATATTTTTAAACTGATTTTGTTTGCAGGAATTTCATTCAGAGTCTGTATAGAACATGAATGCGTTTCCTATCATAAAACTCTGTCAAAATAGCTTTGGTTTTAAGTAAAGTCTAAAGTGATTTCTAAAAATTCAACACGTAAATAAGAATAATCGTAATGTGCCAGGTAATTGATGTAAAATAATCAACAAAGACATACACCCAATTTTTAAACGGCAATTTGTCTGAGTCACATCTGACAAGTATTTGATAATAAATCTTGTGCACCTTTGTTCTAAAAAAAGATTAGAACAGAGATACTATAGAAGGTTGTAATGGTAAACATTACACGCAAAAACCATCATAATGCACCCGCCGCCTTGTGGGAGACATCAAGTTATAATATACGCATTATGTAATTGTTAACAAATCCGACAAGTACGGATTATTTACTTTCCTTTGATGTCCAACAATTAAATATCAGATTTCAAATAATGTACCTGCTTTAATTTTGAACCTGTTTGAAATTGTAAAAACTGGTGTCGATTAAAATTATGGGTTGAAGTGACAAACATTTTAAAAACGTTCGCTGCAGTTTTTCGGCGTGGACAGTAACTTGCGCTTTCCAGTACCGTACATGAACAGGCTGAATCAAACCGAGTCAACATTTTTAACTTCGTCGTTTTGGACGTATTTAAGGGATTCCGTTTTCGCTATTTTATTTTCATATAGAGATATATGTAGAATTTATACTCTTTCATAGAATATATCTAAATTTTGCATGATAGCAGAATCATTTAAAAAAAATGGGTACGACATACTAGTTTTGCAGTACTAGAAAATTGCGCTTTAATTTGTATTTTCTGCTTATTTTATGGAAATATACCTCAAAACAATAATTAAGACCGTGAAGACGCCGTTTTTAAACGTTTGTAGCAATTATCTGCGCTTGTTGTGGCACATATAAGCTCACATTCTCTGTTCCCGTGTCATCTATTGCACTTTTACAAAAGATTCTTCGCAATAAACAGTAAACCAGTGAATAATGAAGCTGATTATGAAAATTTCCTGAAATTTATTCCTTATTCTATGTACTATGTGTATGTCAGAATGAAGAATAAAATGTCTAAGAAATAAATAATGAACAAATAAAATGTCTAACATAAATACATTATAGTTTTATTTAAATTTTATTTATAAAATGACTACAAATTATGCACATGTACTATTTTATAATTTTGTCTAGTAAAGTCATGGACTTGAAAACTGCTATTGTACCAGAACGTTTTATCCTCGCATGAACAAAATATTTTTTTCCCGTTTTCCGTTTAACGACGGTACCCTTTTAGCTCAAATCTTTTGCTAACTAGATGCTAAAGTTTTAGAAGTTTATTAGAATTAAATATAATTTGGATATCGCTAATTAAATGAATTGTTTTATTTGTTTCATCAAACCATATTTATTTTCTTACGGTTTTACCTTATTCCTCGGCAGATGAACACTCAAACTTGTGTCAAAAGTAGACCTAGACATCACGATATTTTATTAACATCGTAAGGTCAATGTTACCCTTAAGAAAATTACTCAAACGGAAGAGAAATATAACAAGCTTAAGTGTAATGTCATACTTTTAAGCAGAAAGAAATTTTCATTTGGTCAATGAATTAAAATGCTGTTATTTACGTTAGTAAGTCTGAACAACATAATTTGCTGAAATTAATCCTATAAGTTACAAAGGTTTCTATGCCTTATTTATACAAATAAGTGTACCTAGTTGGCGTGGACGGTAACCTGCATTTTGAATTACCGTCCATGAACAGGCTCAATCAAACCGAGACTGCAACATTTTCAATTTTATCGTTTTTTGCGTCCTTTAGGGATTTCTTAGTTTCTCTATTATATTGTTTAAAACTTGTTTTATAGACAACATATACCTTGATTCAAAGATAACCAAAGCATATGAGCTCACATATATTATATGTTATACCTAAGAAAGAGCATTTTGTAAAGAAAATAAAAGTATTACAACTTTGGATTTTACAAATAATGAATTTTTACAGCTTATGGTCTCTATAGCCAATGATTTCAGATCGATGAGTTTTTATCGATGATAACTGAACCCAACTTGTTTACGTCACTATCTTGTTGTTCTTTCATGATATGAAATCTGAATGACTGTTCTAACCGGGTGCATTTCCTCTTCCAGAAAATTGTTAAAGTAATCTTGCGACGTAATGATGTGACGTCATAATCCCTAAAGAACGTTCAAAATAGCAGAATAGAAAATGTTGCTGACTCGGTTTGATTGAGCCTTTATAGACGATATTGGTAATTTCAAACTACCGTACACGCCCTCTAGCACCATCTTAAAGGGTATAAATGAGCTGCGCCATGACAATACCAACATAGTGCGTTTGCGACCAGCATGGATCAAGACCAGCTTGCGCATCCGCGCAGTCTGATCAGGATCCATGCTGTTCGCTATCAATTACTCTACTTGTAATAAGGTTTGTAAGCGAACAACATGGATCCTGATCAGACTGCGCGGATACGCAGGCTGGTCCGGATTCATGCTGGTCGCAAACGCAATATGTTGGTTTTGTCGTGACGCGGCTCAAATATATATCTTATGAAATACATGTATTCTTATAAAAACTTTCAATAGTAAAATTATATTGGTTCCATTATTATATGGTTGATTCCCGAAAAAGTTGTAACATATATTATAATGTCAAATGTTCCGGAACAAATATTATTTTGATATTTAAGTAGGGTTTTATCCGTTAAGCAATGACTTTGTGCATGCGCCGGTCGCTTTAAGGCAATTTATTGCCATTTTGGTTTCATACAAGCTTTTTGGATATATAGCTTTATACACTTTAAACACAATTCAACATTTAAACATAAAAATGGTAAAAGGTTGAATTAAGGTTGAATTAAGAACAGCAGCAGATAACTTTATACGGCACAAATGGTAAACATTTTAATTTAGAACATCCGCAGATCTGTTTTTGCGTCTGTCATCCTTGAACTTCCTTGTGACACGATCGTGCTATTCCATGAAAAGGGGCATACAGTCCCTTAGTAAAATAATGTTGTGCCCCAAAATAGAAAACAATGGGCAAAACTAAAGGAAATTGAATTTTGAAAAAAAAAACTTTTTGTACAATACAATTCATATCCGATTAGCAGCTTTGAGATTGTCAGATTCAAAGTGGGTCATGAAAAGTGCAAATATGTTGTTGATTTATTTAGGTCTGAATTTCATTTCTGTTCTTTTCAAGGAATAGTGATGGCCACGCCAACCATGCCAATTGATTCCGTCAGCATAAGACTTGTGCTCGCCCCGGAGATAAAGTCCGTTTATATTCACGGCATGGCATTTGCCGTACCACCATCCACCCATATGATTGTGAGAACATCCAGATGATGGACCTCTATCTGAAGTTGAAAATTTCTTTCCATTGTGGGCTTTTCCAAAAGAATCCGTAACGTTTCCCTCGAAATCACTTACGAATAGCTCGTAACCTTCGTCGACGCTTCCAATAGAAAACAGTCCATAGCTAGCAACTCGATACTGGTTATCAAAATCCTCCAATTCTATCCTAAGTTCTTGTGGTATTCCGTGGGTTACGCGATATACAAACTCATTGCCCAACCAAAACTCACCTGAAGTATTCCCGAATCCGAATGAGTAGTCGAGCCACTTTCTAAAGAAATTTTCGGAACCGTCTTCCCGCCTTTGAAAAACCGTCCAACCTCCACCTGCGGTCTCCATGTCACAAAAAACCTTCAATGGTCGCCATATCGTTTCAGGGAACACTGTATAAATGCCACTAGTCACGTGACCATTCAAAAGAAGCTCCATACAACCAGACGCAAATTCTGTTTTAAAACGAGAATTTTCACGACGCAAAAATGTTTCTTTTAAATCTTTCAGAATAGTTATAACTTCTGACAATTCTTTCTTGAAATCTAATATTGTCATAATATTATTCATATTTGCTGTTGAATTTTGAATCATAGTTTTGATGGATTTGAAATATCTGCATCCTTCTCTTTAATGGCTTGAACTTCCTCCTGAATTTCCCTTCTGATTCGCTTTTCTGATAAAAGCCCATATTGAAGTGCTTTGAACTTAGTTGCCAACTCTGACTCAAGTTTGTCCAATTCCAATTCAAACTCGCTTCCTTCAATATTTCGTTCGTTTATATTCATTTCATCACTTTCACCAACAACATCTATTGCAGATAAATCCTTAAGCTCATTGTAAAATTCTTCACGTATAAAAGCCATGTCCTCCGACAATCTTGTCTCAATTCTCTGGACCCTTTGTCTAAGCAATTCCAGTGTTCGTGACTCCCTGCTCCTTGCATATCCTATATACAATAAAATCACTGAAACTTCCAATGCAAAATGCATCATTGGTAACTGTTTTTCTATGTCTGAAATCAACTATTTCAACAAGAAAGAAAGATTGTTGTTCTGGTATCTGGTAGGCTTCGTTCTAAGTGATATTTATCTTGAGATAAACTAAACTTATATAAACACATAAAGCAGAAACGCGAATGCGCCAATGTCTGGAATTGGGAAAAACAACTTCCTATGTATATACCTCATGAATAAACATGCAAAAAAAAGATTTTGAAAACATTGCCAGAATATTGTAGGTCATTTAGAATCATCTCTTCTTTCATTCACTGTCTGAGTTTTACCAATGTTTAGCTATATTACGAAACACAGTTTTAAATAACTTGCTTGATGATAGCTTTTACTTAGAAAGAGTTATTCGAAACTGATTTTTTGTCGATACCATTTTTAGGAGACAAAACTATGAATGCTTGAAGCACAAATTTTCAACCAAAATGCGCTTAAACAAGATTTGTTTGTGTATTGAAACTTTATTTTTTTATTAAACATTGAAGTAGTCTTGTTTGATGACATTCAAAACTTACGGATTTGAATAAATAAGTAAAACAACCGATCAAAATAGTCACTTGTAAAATCTAAAAAAATGCACATGGCCAAATTTTATCTTCAATAACTTTGTCCAATCAGAAACAAGGAAGCTGAAATTATTATCATAGAAACCACTTAATTATCTCGTGCGCATGACTTAATAACTCGTGGCCACGACATAGTATATCGTGCCCACGACTTACTAACCTCGTGCGCACGACTAAGTAACTTGTGGTCACGACAAAGTATTTCATGCGCAAGACTATATTATCACGTGCCCACGACTTACTAACTCATGGCCACGAAAAAGTATCTCGTGTGCACGAGATAAATAAAAGCACACACACACATGACACCTCTGTGCCACCGTAGGACCGTTGAAACAAATAATAGTTAAAATCAGCGAAAAAAACAACAAAAAAGAACTCCCCACAAAAAGAAAACAACACAAACAAAACACAAAAAACAACAACAACATTGAAAGCCGCCCTGCCTATAAGTTCGTTTTTTATATCATCATAGTTAGATCCGTTCAGTATCAGATGTAAATGATTTATTGGGTATATAAGAACATGTTTAATGACAGATCACCACAAGGTGCAAAAATCGTTTTTACATTCATTATTAAAATATTAAGTTATTTCTTGTATTTAAACTATTTTTCACAAATTGTGCCTCGTCAATTTCTCTGTTTACCTCAAATCATCCTGATAAGAGTCTGTTTCTAAGGAAACAGATAATTGATTCATCATCTTCACCGCCAATTTAATATCTTATTCAAAGTAAAGATCAAATGTGACGTCATAGATACTAGATGATGGTTGCCATATCTTATGTATCGGAGGAGATGGTTTGGTCTGCGGACCTCTTTTCTTTGATTTTAGATCCCTAACCCAGCACATTTTCTCATCAACTAGTATCTTGAATCAGTTGCTGACACAATCTCGAATACTATTCGTTAATCGAAGCTGTTTCTAGTAATGAATATTCCAGAACATTGATAAATATTTTTATATTAAAATATGTGCAATACGTACCTTTGTTGCTGTATTTTTTAATTTCAAAACTTTAGGGATACCATGCATTAAGAAAATATAAAGCTGCTAAACCTACAGTTAAGGTCATGGTAAAAATGTATGGATAATTAGGCTCGTATGGCATCCTGCTGGTAGATAATTGATAACAAGTCTCTTCATATGACGTCATCAGTGGTTAGTTCGAATATGTTGTCTCAAGAGTGGTTAAAAAGGATTAGTGTTTTTTTCACTATCGGGTTTAAACAAAAATGTTTAAAGTTAAACTTAAAAAACACAAGTTTAACGATGATCATAAAGTTAAAAAAATGTAATGTTTGGTAATCTACAATTGCAATACATATATAATGAATGCCAAAAGCACCATCATATAACAGTAATAATGTAACTACACACCGATTTATGAGTAGATATGGATAAAAATGATATAAAAATGAAAATTAAGTATTAGATTTAAACTTTAATAAGCTCTTATTAAAGGATCATGCCTCCAGATCCGTGCTAATTCTTATAAAAAAAGAAAAGATATATTAAAAAGTGCACAAAGAAAGAAATTCACACATAAAATTTTGGAGTCATTTTGCATAATAACAATGACTATTCGGTAAAGAAGGAATAAACTAAAAAATAAAAAAATTTGCTCACAAGTTATTAGTCCAGACCTTCATCAATTGATCTACAAATCGCAGTCGCGCAATCCAAAAAATAACAACAATAACAACAACAACAACAACAACAACCCCTTTAAGGTGTCAAAGTTTATTTATTATATCTTTTTTTACTGTGTTTGGTCTGACCCATGTCAGTGAATCTATTGTGTTATTTTATTTTATAAATGGTCATTTAAATAAAAAAAAAAACGAATAAATTTAGTTAATGAATAAAAATAGATAAAATGAGAATGCAGCTAAGTCGCAGTTTTCATTTCCATTGCATAACATACATTGTTTAAAATATTCCCTATTTTGTACAATTTATTTTTAAATTCTATGCGTACAACGGTACAAAACCCTGTACCTAGTTGTGACTTACAGTAGCTTTTATATTCAGATACTTTTCTATCCATTGTACCTAAGTGTAACTTTTATATTCACAATAAGATTTGACATTCATTATCATTTTACAGAATATAACGCTTAGTCCGTACCGAATATTGACAATGTAGATTGCTAGACAACATTTACTCAAAGAAAAACAGAACATGTGAACAAAAGATCTTGAAGATATATCTAGGATTGATATGAAGACTACAAGGAAATATCCTAGATGAAGTTAAGATGGCCGAGAACATGATAACATCAGGGTTTCCAGATTGATAATGATAATGACATTTTACAGACAATTAGCCCTTAATACATTATCTAAAATTAGCCATTAAAGAGCCTTGACTGAGTGTTTTTTGCATACATGATCTACTATAAGCCCTTTAAGGCTCTTGACTGCGGGCTTTTTTTTTTATAAAACAACATTTTGATGTAACTTCCGTACTATTTTTAAGTTCGGAATGTTTTGAAGCTGTCAAGACACTTATTAAAACTGATAGCAGGTTTAACAGATAACTATAAACAATTTGTCCTATCTATCAATTTACTCAAACTAAAGCACAACGTGTCACATATAAAGGGCGACAAAACGAAACTGTTACGTATAAACGCGATCATTAATGATATTTAACAATAAAATAAACCAAAGTGTTTTTGAAAGCAAGACTTATAACATTTATTTGGGTATTTCAAGATCAAATTAAAACTGTTGTGGGGTTCGAATTACTTGAAGCATACTACCTATACTGTTTGCTTATTTGTTGACATTCCTGTTAACTTGCAGGCGAAGGTCTCAGATGCCACGTGCATTAATTCTTGGACGATCGTGACCCTAGCTAGAACCACCGTTCTCTAAGAATATCTTCATATAGACCATTACAATGCCAATGTCGAAACGTGATCATGTAGCTTTAAACGTTAAATTAATAAAAGTAACAGTTTATGTTATCAAAGTCAGCATGTCTTTACATCGGCAAAGGAAGGCCAAGTACCTTAAGTAAAAAGGTTACTAGATCTATATGTTTTCCCAGTAAAACCTCGCGTATAATTATTATTGTATGGGTAATTATCTCTGACAAGTATTTTGTTTAGATAACCGAGAAAGAAAACACTATAACATTGGCCAATAAACGTCTTTTATCAGTATAATAATTCAAAGATCATGAGAAATTATTGAACTTGCTATGCTTTTATACAACCTATGTCTTTTTATACATTTTCCATACCTCAATATCAGCATATTAGATAGAATTTTTGTAATTCAGAGTGTTAAAAAAAACCGATCATTATTGTACATGAAATATGAAGAAAACACTTGATACAATTTGATACAAATGCGGGAATATACGTGTGCTCGCTAATTTGGATTGTAATTTTGTGGTAACTTAAACATGTACTACCACTTTTGAAAAATACACGACCATTTGTCAATACTTTCCTTTTTGCCTATTCAAGACACATTTATTCTAATATGTATATCAATTAAACGATAATTTATATAACCATTTCAACAGTATGTCAATAGGAACAAAACAAAAACACAAGAAACACTGAAAAAGCATGTGTTCATTATTGACTTTGAACTCTTAGTGCCTACATAATTTAAAAGTATTTGCTTTTGGTTAAGCCCTATTAAGCCTCCAAAATGCTAATATTTTTTTATTAATTTCAGAGTACTGTTCAAGATTCTAATATGGTAAGCATTGGTCATAGCTGAACCATTGTTTTAGCCAGTAGTTAAGTTATAGTGAAGTTTAGTATTTTGTATGGAAGACACAACTTGTTCATATTTTTTTTGAAAACTTATTTTAATGTAACCCCCTTCTTCCTACTGTAAAGTAATAAGCATTAAGCAATAACGAGATCCATTATTAAAACATAAATAACCACAGGTTTGCATTTTTTCAGAGAACAAAAAAGAGTTGTATTTAATTTTGGAGGCTTAATGTGCCTTTAAGCAGAAAAAACACGAAAGATTAAACTGTAATACTGTTCCATATACATGTCATATCTCAAGTATTCTGATTGATAAACAACTGATAAGACTTAGTATAAGCAGGTCTGTGCTTTTGTTTGAACATTGATTACATATTCTGTTCGTTGAATAGAAAAAAAACCGAGAATAAAGATCATCAAGGCAAAGGCATTGTTCACAGGACGCAGTCCCCGTCACAACCAAGCTACCACAGCAAGGCACCTAGAAGGCACCAAACCAAAACCGGGAGTGGTCATAAGGGCGGAGAAAGGACAAGAGGGGCACGAAATGTGTGAAATATTAAAAAATAAAACGGGTACATATGGGATTTAAAGAGACAAGGGAATTTTCTTTTGCAACCCACTACTTATTTTTAGTTTTCAAAAGGGAAAGGGATACTTCAGGGGTCAGTTCTCTACGTGCCATCATTAAATAGAGAAAAACAGAATCCCTGAAGAAAGCCTAACAAGCCTAGACAAACGTTTTAGTCATTTCTCTTATCATAATGAGCAAGAAAGATGTGTATGTGATTTTGCTAT